ATAGTATTACCATTCTTATTATTTGTAATACTAATATTTTTGCTTGAATTTTGATTTAATTTATATTGATTTTTATTAGACTTACTTGATTTTAACAATTTTTATTTAGCTTTTTATTATTTATAATTAATAATCTTATTTTGTATATTTTTATATTTTCAAGTTTTTTTTATAAAATATTATAATTGAAATAAACTTTAAAATATTAAATTGGAATAGTTTAATTTAGAATTAATCTTTTTTAATTTATTTTATACAAAGTTTGTTATATTAGTTGAGATTGTATACTTTATCAAAATTAAAACAAAAATTTTTATATAAAAATTTTTTTTGCTTTGATCTGTTTTTAGTTTATTATTATTAAAAAGATTGGAAATTTTATCTTTATATAATTTAACTTTATACAGTATGTTTCAAAAATAATTTATATAATATTTTTTATTATAATTCAATAAATAATGATTTAATTAAAATAAAACTTTAAATATCTATATTTTATAATCTAGTAAATAAAATATTAATTTAAAGTCAAAAAAAAAAATTCAAAAAAGTATTATAAATTTTATATATAAATTTATATATAAAATATGAATAAAAATTAAAATTTTACTATAGAAAAAATTTTTAAAAAATCAAATAAATAAATAAATAGAAATTTTAAGCTTATAAAAAAGTTATAAAAGATTTATTATTATATTTAATAAATATTATTAAAATTGATAGTTTTTTTTATTATATAAATTTATTTTTAAAAAATTTTTAAAATCTTTTAAAACTTTATATTTAATATAAATTTAATGTTTTTTAGTAAAATTTAAGTTAAATTAATTATTATATAATTATTTGTACTTAATAAAAAAATAACAAAAATTATATAATTATTAATATAACTTTTATTTAACAAATTTATGTATTGATTATAATATAATTAAAATCAATTATTTAAAAAAAAATTTTTTTTTAAATTAAATTTTACAAAAATTTTAATAACATATTTTAAAAACTTTATTAGGTAAATTTGTTTTTTATATTCTTAAATATATATATATAGATTTTTATCTTATTTTATTAATTAGTTATTGAAATATTACAAAAATAAAAATTGATATATTGGATAATTTTTTTTGAAACATACTGTATATAGTAATTAAAATTTGGATATTTGAATACTTTATATAATATATAAGAAAATTAATAAGCTTATATATAGATAAAATTTATATTTTATAGATATTGAACTAAAAATATATATTTAAAAATCTGAAAATATTATTTATTATATTATTAATTTATAAATCTTTTTTAATTTTGTTTATTAATTAATTAATAAATAATAAAATATAATAAGAAAATTTTTTAAATATATTAGAACAATACTATTAAATTTTAATTTAAAGTTAAAAATATATTTTAAAAATATATTTAAATTTATATTAAATAATAAAAAATTAATAAAGTTATTTTAATATAAAAATTTGTTAAATAAAAATAAAATAAAGCAAAGATGATTTTTTTATTAATTTTAAAATTTACTATTGATTTATAAAATTTTTTATATATTATAAGAGATTCAATAAATTTTTTTAATTTTATAATTAATTTCAAATTTATATATAAAAATTTAATCAATTTTTTTTTTTTTTTTTATTTAAAACAATATTTTTTTTAAAAAAACTATTAATTAATTATTAATAAAATTTGAATATTTTTATTATCCAATTATAAGAAATATATACAATATTTAAAGTTTTATGTTGATTAAATAATTATTTATCAAATTATTTTAAAAAATATTAATTCAAAAACTTTTTATAACAGATTGTAATTTTAATAATGATTTAAAATATAAACCAACAGTAACTTTTTAAATTATACAAAATAAATATACAATATTAATTATTTTATTATTAACTTAATTCTAAAATTTATAAAAATAATTATATTATAATTTAATTATTTTATATATTTTAATAGAGATTTAATTAAATATATCAAATATATAATTGAGTTAAATATATAAGAATCTATAAATTTCAATAATTTACTTATATATTACTTTTTTTAAAAAGAAATAACTTTTTTATTTTTTATAATTATATTTAAAAAGTTATAAAATTATAAAATTTTTTAAATAATTAATATCTTACAATAATAGCTTAATAAATCTGCTTTTTATTATAGTAAAATAATTATTGACATAATAATCTTGATGTTAAAAGATTTGAAAATTATATACAAATCTATAAACTGATTGATAAATGTTTTATTACTTAGAAAAATATTTAGCTATAATATAATAATTTTATAATATAATTGTTTTTGATCAAAAACTAATAAATGCAATAGTATGCAAACGGATTAGAAGTACAAGAAAATAAAAAATCAATATTTTTATAATTCTTTAAAAACTAATTAAATACTGTATATATACTGTATTTTATACTATTTTTTTTTTAAAAAATCTAAATTTAAAATTAATGAAAAAATATAATAATTATTAATATTATGATTTTTTATTATTTTATCTTTAAATGCATTTATAAAGTTTTATAATATTGAAATGATATTATATTGATTTATCAATAAAAATATAAGCTCAAAAAAATTCTCATCATATTGTAACTCGACACCTAAAAAAAATTTAAAATTCGTATTATAATTTTAACAGAATTTTATATTTTTACTGTACGAAGTTATAAAAAATTTTATTTGAAGTCAATTTTTATATTACAAATTATATCAAAAACTTATAACCATAAATCTAAGTTTAATGTCTATTTACAGAAAATGTCATCGTGTTTTTCATTTTAAACTACAGTGTTCGTGGTGCTAAGCGATCGTGTGTACGGAAAAGACAAACTCAAAAATTCGAATGGTCCTTAATAGGAGTACCAGTGTATAATTCGTCAGCAATCATCACAAGAACAAGCTCAGTCATTCGTCCATTCTTAGAACTGCATAGAAAACATGAGTGTGTTGGTTAGGAATGCATAGATGTAATTGCAGGCAAGAAAAGCAAAATGACTTACATCCAACTAGATTCATGGAAATAATCAAATGAATTAATTATTTATTCAATATCAACGACATTTCCAATTATCTATAGAGGACATATATCAACAATTTATTCATAATATGGATTCCATTCATGTTAACAAGTCTTAACCACATTGCACCCATTCTAAAGTTCACTTCTGCGTAATTTCACAATTTTTCAAATCCGGATTCCAAATATCAAATTCTCTTCTGAGCATGGAATATGTCGCATCCACCAACAATATAATGCTCCCTATACTATATACCAGGGTTATGGCATAAAAGAAGTTTGCATTGCCACTACCCGCGTAAATCCATAGATGATAAAATATTGGTGACAATATTGAACAATAACAAAATATGTTGGTTGTGAGAAAGTTGTACCGCATATCTAGTAAGACGATCGAATTATCATCGAAAAGCCGTGTATTAGTAGTGACCGCGTGTGTGCCGAGAAAATCACAAAAGAGAGACGCGTATATAACTACATTTTGTAATTTCGGAATAGATAGGTAGGAACGCGAGATAAAGAGTTGCATCACCGATGGACGGATATGATTTAAATATTGCCATTATACCGCTCAATAGGAAAATAATAAATAGAGGATGATTCCTTTTTCAGAAAATGTGATCAGGTAAATGTGATAAATAAATGTTATAAAAGAGGTGAAAAAATAATACGATGCGGACACACCTGAATTTAAATGCGACTGGAGCCACAAAAATGAAGGCATGCAACTGAAACACTACCAAAAAAAAGCTTCGGAATTGGTCGAACATCTCGATGAAAAAATACCAAAATAAGCCTATGTTCGGAGTCAGATCAGACAAGGCGAGGCTATTATTCAACAGAATTTCATACGTATAAATATCCAATAATTATCACAGCAGTTCATATCGAAAAAATGTAAAAAGTCTCAATCTATTGGAAGCTTACATCACTCCATATGTGGCTTTTAGAAAATCCCAGGAATCCACCAGCAAATAAGATAAGACCAGTAGTCCCCCTAACCATCCAACATATAAGCCTGCACAACTATAAATCTCATTCTAATAATTCACAATTGCATGAGATACCAGTGGTAATAATGGTAATTATAGAAAAAAATAAATCAATAAAATTTTTTAAAGAATACCTTTATTTTCTTTTTATCAAGCTTGGCATTGTTGGTAAACATAAGGGTTGTGGGGATAAGCAACATCAATGGATAAAAACTTAAATATGTTGCCATAGCAATCCAAAACATTCCATAGCTCTTATTATCTAAGATTTGTAACAGAAAGAAAAATCGGTAAACCTTTAAAAAACGTTGAATGATTAGTTGTATAAAAAATTCATACTCTTTAGTGAATAATAAGTCCCGAGAACGATTGACAAATTGGTGAATATGATTGTCGACTGTGAAAGACACGATGCAATCGTTAATGGATTAAACAGATATCTAAACGTGACGATATATGAACGCAATTAAGAAAATAATGTATTTAGTTATGCTCGAAAATCTTTTAAATAGAGGATACAATCCAGAAATAATCCATGGATCGATTTCTATGGGTTTTCCCGCTTTTAATTCTATGTCCAGCCGCGGATAATCTTTATATAGTTGTTGTTTTATCCGGGAAATGTTTGCCAATAGATAAGCCAACAATAGATCTGTTATTATATATGCCAATTGTATAGAGAAACTTGGAAGATAGCTAAGCAATTGAAAACATGCTAGGAAAAGTGGCGGCTATAGGAAAAAAAATATATATCTTGAATATAGGAGTATTCTTTTCACGAGACAAAAAATGAATTATGGAATGCTACCTACTTGATGAAAGACGCCACCGTCATACGGCGGGACTCCATTAGCAAATAAATAGAGGCCTTCAGTCACTATAAAAATATTCGTAGGAGAAATGAAAGTAATAAAAGAACGAGAAAGAATTGTCCTTTACTCGTGTATTACTCTGTTGATTACTTATTCTTAGTTTGGCAACAACATACGTCGGGTAAAACTGGTTACCGGAGTGATAATCTCCACTCGACTTCCAAGTTTCTGGGTAATATTCGGGAACAGGAACAGCGTTAAACGTGTGATGAATGCGGCACCGAATAATAGAGCTCCAGTGACACGGTCATCAGTTCGATTATTCGATGTTGTATCGCCAGTATTCTTTATTACGTTGGTTTTTAATGATGACATCAATATTGGAAAATTTCGAAATTGAAATATACCAAGAAAAAACAAGATACAGATGATAATTTAGAGCCAGTCAAAACTGGTTAATCGCAATAATCACGGGATCTTCGATTTTCAATTTTTTGTAATGAAATTTTTAATAAAAAAATTTTTGTTTTTTTTAAATAGCAAAGTTTTAAAATTATTGTTCATAAAAATACTAGATAATGTATCTTCTCTAACTATTAATGTGAAAACCAACACAATTCTAACAAAAGAATTGTGTATCAAGCAATAACATTATGTCCTACTGTAATACCGTTCTCATTAGTATGTCTATATTCTTAAGTTTTTGTTATGTTAAACCAGTAAATCGATTAGACGCGTCAAAATAAATGATTTTTCTTCACCCAAGTTTTGCTAGTTCTTGTAGAAAAGCATGTGGGTTTAGTATTTGGGTAGAGCCATAAGTAATTTTCTTTTTCTCCGGTTGGCGCTGAGAGGAGAAAAAAGATAAAGATCAATCCCTTAGGAATATACATATAATAAATAAATAAATATAATGTTTTATTGCTTACCTGCGCAAATTCTTGCAGATTTTGATATTCAATGTAATTCCCACCACCAACCACAAATACAATTGCTTCCTGAAAGCTAATTCTATTTCTAGATTGTTTGTTGACGCTAGAATTTCGAGCTGTCTTTGGGTCAAAGTAAAGATAATCATCAGTTTCACTCATGCTACTGGTAGCTGGTTCCATGATCGATTCAACAATTTTTGTAACGGTCAAGTCTTTGCGTGTGGGAAGTAAATTCTTTACACCTGAAATCAAGTTTTCGAAACCACCACCAAGGCCTCCCTCCTTTAGTCGATCTGTCAACTAGATGATGATAAATTGGTTAGATTTACGATTTCACTGGTTCAGTTAATTCACAAATTATCATGGACGCATGCCTTATTTCCGATAGAACTAAATCCTTGGAAGAGTTGACTGGACTGACCGAATCCCGAACTCTGAGATACAGGCGCAGACATCGTTGTCATTTTGGTGATTTCACGCACCCTGAATAATAACATTTGAGATTGTTATGTCGTTAATACATTAACAATCAAGAATAAAGTAATTTTCATAATTGCTAACTTTTTGACGTAATTCAACGCGGCCAAGTCACATCCAGCGGAGCGCAAAGCGTCTTCGTATTCTGCCATGTCTTCCTTTGTGACCTCGTCCACTGAAAGATAATAGATAATAAAGAAGCGAAGTTTATCTTCAGGTGCATTTTTTTCGGGATCTCGGATTGCATCCAACACCGCGGACCGACTTTGCCTAGTTATGGATTCTTCCATCTGAAAAAAAGTATCTAACTGACGTTCCTTAATTCCTTGTAATAAAGAAGTGGCTATGTTCATATGCATGTCGAGTGTTTGTTTACGTGCCGTAAGCTCCGGTAAAGCGGTTATGGCTGATTTCAAGTGTTGAGTATTCTGGGAAAAATCCGATTGATCGACATCATCCAGAGAACTGACACCACTAAGTTTCGTGATTTCAGCAGCATCCGATTTATATCGATTCAATTCCACATCTATGTCCTCGGCTACCTGGGGAAACGGGCTCGCCGCATTTTTAGCCCAAAAAAAGTCTTTGCTATCTAAATCATAACTTTTCTTAACCCTAGGTCCCATTTCTTCGGTCTCAATCGAGATTCTATTCAAATGCATGTCTAAGACGTCATGTATCAAGGCTTGGTAAGTCCAAGAATGACTCAACATCGGTATCAGATCAACATTTCTGTCAAGTATCAGCAGGACTGGCCTCTGAAAATTCAAGGACGTGGAGGCATCAGAAAAAAGATTATTCCGTGAATTTAGCACATGATCGCGTAATCGACTATCCAATTTTTGTGCAATCATCTCAGCCGCATTTCTTCGGGGACACCGAATGATTGGTATCACGCCCATGGTTACTAACACTGAAAATAAGGAACTGACCGTTCGATCAATAACCTGCTCGATAGCAGTTTCTGCAGCGGTGGGGTCGTTCAAAGAGCAATACATGTTTGATTGGTTCAGTGAAAATAGATTCGGTTCAGTGACAATAAAGTTCAAATATTGGTCATAGACCTGCGCAATCATGTTTGATGTGTTGTTCGGTATTGTAGATGCTGCAAGCTCCTCTAACAAGGGCCTCGTGATGGATGTCAAGAAGTTTATGTAAGATGATTCATAAAGACTTTTAGCCAGATCCTAAAAAATAGGAGATTGAGGTTACCACAACCTAATGGCTAATCTAAGCCGTCGTGAATCAATTTTACCTCACTGATCCTTTGAATGTTTTCGGATGTCGGCTCCACGAAATAAATTGCTGGAACATCTGCGATAGGTTGTCTCTCACTCTTTAATAACCTAAATTAAATCGAAACAGTTGAGACAAATTGTATTCAATAAAAATTCGAAGAAAGCATACATGTGTACGGTCACACCGTTCTCCCGCAGGTCGGCAACTTTGAGGACAGAGGAGATTATATCTCGACCGAATTCGTCGAATATTAACACCTTCCAGATCGGATCAGGATTTGCGGTGGGTATCGTAAGACTATCCAAATTTGTCGAGGTCGAAGGCTCGGGTTTGGTGTTGAGATTGAGCATTGTGACGATCTCGTCTAGTGAAATTGGAGAAGAACAGAATGGTTAGATCAATGTTCAAGGTAACAATAGAACGAAAAAAAAAACCTACCTACCGATTTGCTGATCCCTCAAACATTTGCTCTTTTGAGGATTCGCCATTTTTAAGAAAGTATATTTAAGGGTTTTACAGAGTTAATGTTAAGGAACGAAAGTTAACGAGCTATATGTTGGCATGTACATCGAGGAGACTGTACGCACACGTATTAAAATTCTACGTATTACGTTCTAGAGTAAAACTGCAAGAATTTTTTGTGGTGTAACCGGATTGGAGACGTGACGTGACGGACATTAAAATAGAATGGACAATAAATTGTTACGTACTGTACACACCTGCTGCACATATGTATTTCACATATTTATAAAGGCCGAAAAAAATTTTTCGACCTTTGTCTGAAAATTGATACCATAATAAACATGGACTATTCTATACACCTCCCTAACGCAAATTATTCAGTCAGTAGTCACTTTGGAAATTTCACTGTTCACCAAACGAATAATAATAACACTGGACGAAAACGAGCTCGTAGTGACAGTATGAACAAAAGCGACCAAGCCCAGGTATATATTGTTTCGAAGTTGCGTGATAAGAGAATCACAAAGTTTTTTTGGTGGGTATTATCTTTGAGCTTCGTTTCAAGTATACTTTACCTTACTAAACTTTTGTGGTATACTAGAAAACTTCCCGGCTACTGAGTCCACCACGACAACGCTTTCCTCCAACATTGTCTTGCTGCAGCGAGGTTCGTCTTAACCGGTCAAATTCCATCAGTGAACTAAGTTGCAAGACTCAGTTATTGGCAGTCCAGGATCCAAGACTGGCAGACCCAATGGATTGCGACATAACGTCATTTGAATTAGAGGGTGACATGGTAAGATTCTTCATTGCATTGAAAGTGACAACAATAATGAAACACTTTTTTTCATATTTTAACCTATTCTTTTATTTTAGATTCAACCGCCTGGGTCAACAGCAACACCACCATTGTCACACTCCTCCTCACCCACACGAGCGCAACGTGTCTATCACCGTCAAACGCACGTACCCAGTTTGGTCTATACAATGGGACGTAGAGCAGATTGTGAGAGATGTCGTTTGCGTGTTCCAGGGCATTTTGCTCACGTCATCAACCAATAATCACCTCATGTTAGAATTATGTAGAATGACGCGTTTTATTGTGCGTACAAGCGAAATTTATTCGTCTCTTTGCGAGAAGCTGACCTTTTATAGGATTTCCCTCTACAACTTTCGATAGATTACTCATCAGCTTTCTAGAGCAAAATGATAGCACATAGCGTCTGCATTTTCAATTTGCAAGCTTTTTTTCTTATTTTTGTGAGAAACTTTTCTTCTTATCACGCGGTGTTTCAAAGGTACTCATCTTACGTATGTAAACAGTGAAGTGAATTTCGAGATTCGTAAAAAACATTCTTATCATATACAGTATTTCACGTATTGCATTATGAATATTAGAATTCCTTGTTAGTTTCTGATCTTTTTAAGTTCAGTGGTCAGACTACGCGTCTTAATAGTATAAATTTTGGGCGCATTTACTCATGTATCATAGAATCTGATTATTAGTACTTTTTTAAAGTTCTTCTATTAAGCCTTAACCTATCCAATTAACCCTGTATAAAACAATAATGAATAAAATGCAGTAATGCATAAATTTTGTAAATTTACATAAATTGATTTGTTGTGATTAGGTGTTTTTTTTTTTTTTCTTTAGAACGATCTAATCTCATCCCCAAAAACATCACCGAAAAGATGCATGTATAGGAACAATGTCTTCAAAGTGTGTGTTCAAAGGTCGCCGTGGTTTCTTGGTTTTTTCCGAAGAATGATTCAAATTTTGCGAAGAAAACTTTTTGCATAACATCAGCGTCATTGTAAACTTCGGAACCTTCCAAGTTGAAGGTTTTCGCGTTAGAGAACATCAATTCAATGTCATGTTTAAATTCATCGGCATCGTCGTAATCGTTGTCTAGGATCTTCTGACGGATTATGTTAATGGATATTGGCTTTTTGATCTGGTCATAGTAATATGGATATTCTTCTTGACTTGGGAGATCGTAGAATAATGCGGCGCGATGACGATATCCTTTACGTGATTTAACGCGTACATTTTCAATTTGAACAAGGCATTCCATAAAAAGATCATTGTTGTTTTCACCAGATAACTTTTTGGATTTACGACGTTTCTGTTTCGATTCATCACTAGACGTCGTCGTTTCGACTTTGTGAACTTTTGCACCCTTTTCAAGTGAAAGGGTGATAATGGTGGATCCCTTTTTTTTTTTGTTCTTGACTTTATATTTAGAGGACTCGCTTTTTTCGACGGTTTCTCCCTCCGATTTTACTTTATCCGTTTTTTTAACCGTAATTTTGGTGACAGATTCGTCTGTCATCTCAGCAGGATCACGAGCTTTTCCTTTACGCTTATTCTTAATAGTTTGTACATCATCTGATTCGGAATCAACTTCTGGAATATCTGTGGGAGCATCATCGTTGAAATCTTTGCGTTTTCTTTCAGTCTTTTCGCCATTTTCTAATTTGACCTTTGACCGAACGATGGATTCATCAGTAAACTCCACGGGATCACGACCTTTTCTGTTTCTACGTATTGGGGGAATGTTTTCGGTCTCCGGTTCGTCAGGAACGTCCTTTGGAACAGTGTAATTAACGACCCTACGTTTTCTCCTCGGGCGCGTACCGGTCGACTCTTCATCCTGAGAGTCATCATCGACTTCAATTATCTCACCTTCATCCTCAATCTTTCGTTTATTTGAACGTTTAGAAGCTCTCACGGGAGAAGATTCCTCAACATTTTCAGTATCCTGCTTGTTTTTCTTTTTTACTTGCCGTTGACGGTTTGATAGTTGTTTTTTAGCAATAAGATTCTCAATGTCCACGTTATTCTCAACAGCGTTTAAGAATTGATCTTCGGTCAATCCGTCATCGTAGATGACCTCCTTACGTTGTCGTTGCCCTCGACCGTATTCTACACCATCATCGGGAATAGTCTTGTAATCCCTAAGATATACTTCTGGTAATTCTGATTCCTGTATCAACCTCTCAGGAATAGGCAATCCTTTGGCCTTCCATTCGGCCGTTTCTTCACGAATTCTGGCGATATCCATTTGCCTAAATAATTCTAGTTCCCTCTCGTCTCGTGAAATGATCTCATTGATTTCATCATCGTCGAGGTCCTCACGTTCGTCCGCACTGTTACCATCGGTGTTGTCACCTTCAAGAAGAGAGCGCAGGAATTCATCACGCGCCTTATCGGTACTTGTCTGATCAAATTTTCCCGCTTGTATAACTTTACCGTCCATGTCGAGCTTAAACTGTGCTTTGGCGAGTACTTTTTCTTCGACCGAATTTTGAGTGATCAGACGCAAAACTTGAACTTTCTTGGTCTGTCCAACGCGATGAGCGCGATCTTGCGCTTGAAGATCCTGATGCGGATTCCAATCAGAGTCATAAAGTATAACAGTGTCAGCTGATTGCAAATTTAGACCCAAACCACCAGCACGAGTGCTGAGCAAAAATATGAAATATGGAGAGTCAGGGCTGTTAAATTTTTTTAGTAAAATGGTTCGATCGTCCGATTTAATGCTACCATCCAGTCGTAAATACTTGTACCCTCGAAAATTCAGAAAGTCTTCCATAATAGTCAGTATGTTCGTCATTTGACAGAACAATAGGACTCGGTGATTGGCCTTAAAATACTTGGGAAGAACTCGGTCTAGGAAATCAAATTTTCCAGAAACTCTCACCAATAAATGATTATTATCATTATTCGGGTTGATGTCTTTTTCGACCTCCGAGAATACAAATGGATGATTACAGATCTTACGTAATTGCATCACTGTATTCCTATGACTTCGAACACCTGTTTTTCCTCTTTCCCCGGTACCAACAAAGATAGCACCATGGGTTTTCATCTGATTATACAATTTTTGCTGAAGCGCGGATAACTTAACCTTGATGATACGTTCCACTTTGTCAGGTAACTGAGATTCGACATCTTTCTTTAAACGTCGAAGGAGGAAAGGTCGAAGTACTTTATGCAAACGTCTAATAACCAGAAGGGATTCCTCTTCGTTTAATGCAATTTTATCTTGCCCTCCGGTATTTGCGAATGGCGTATTAAACCATTCTTCAAAACTATTAACTGAGTTGAAGATTTTCGGTAAGATAAAATTCAATAAAGACCATAATTCGGGTAAGTTATTCTGTAACGGGGTACCCGTAAGAATGAGTCTATATCTGAGGGTATAATCATTACTTAAAACCAATGAGAGCTTTGAATTGGTATTCTTCATTCGATGACCCTCATCAATGATACAGTATAACCATCTTGGTTTGCTCAACACCGCCTTATCTTTGATGACGTACTCATAAGTCGTAAGAAAGACTTGGCAATTAAGGTTCTTCAAATATTGTCGCTGAATGAGTTTCCGATTAGCAGGGGTACCCTTGTATGTACATATCTTGACAGAAGGCGCCCACTTTTCGAATTCCAATTGCCAATTAGTCATAGTGGACAATGGCACGATTATCAGGTAGGGTCCATTTTGTTGTTTCTTTTCAATGAGATAGGTGATAAGGGAGATTGTTTGGATGGTCTTTCCTAAACCCATCTCGTCGGCCAAGATTCCGTTAAGATGATTGTTATATAACGATACCATCCATTGGAGACCTTTGAGTTGATAGTCCTTTAATTCACCTCCAACTAAAATACCCGGTTGTTCGACCGTTTCCTCTATCCTATGAGCTATCGAGTGATAGTCTACCTTCTTGCCGTCTAATGCCTCAATCACATTGTCATCATCAGTAACTGAGATATCAGGAGCCACTAAATTATTCTCATTCTTGTGATCTTTCTGATGATCCACCACAGCTTTCGTTAATGAACCTAAGAACAAATCAGTCTGACGTAGTAGATGAGTGATACGTTTGTCCTTGTGTTCATCGATCAATTTCATGTACGCCTCCTCATCATTGTTTTTCAAAGCGTTAATACGTTCTTTAGAAGATCGTTCCAACTGCTTCTGTACTTGTTTCTGAAGTTGTGCGTGATAAATGATCACCGATCGCCCTAACTTCTCACGCATGGTCTGTTTGTTGTGAGAAATATGTTTCATGTAGTTCGTCTGATGAAATATGGCATTAAAGTAAGCCGAACGTTCTTCTTTTATACGACGTTTATATGCCTCCCTTTTTTCCCTCTCAAGGTTCTCATAGTACGTCGCATTCTTCAGTATTTTAGGCACCGGACGTTCATATTGCTTTAAGGAAATGATGCGCACGGGCCGTCGGTGTATTGAATATTTCATGATTTCATTACGTAATTTTTGTTGGCATGCTCTTAATTTATAACCTTTTCGTTCGATCAATGCCTTAATCTTTGGTCCTGCAGTATTATGTTTCGTCCGACCACCGACATTAAGTGACTCGTTTGACAGATTACTGGGTAATTGTTCTAGTTCTTTAATGCGCATTTTGATCCTATTACTAAGCTCGATTTCTCGTTCATCAGCAGCCTCACTCATTTGTTCAACCTGCTGGGGAGTTGGGAACATGGCGACGGCCACAGCTGCTTGTTCCTCTGTTTCCAAATGAAACAGTGGTGGGACTTTTATTTCGGTTTGTTCGATCAGCTCATTTAACTGTGTAACCTGTTCAAGGTCCTCGTTTTTCAGCATACCAAGAAATAAATTATCTGATATTGACTTGTTAGCTGACAAATGAGAAAATGCCTCTTTTTGACATCGGAGCCTGTTAATTTGTTCTACAGTAGGCTGGGTAGCATTTTGTTGTCGATTTAAAGTTATTTCCTTTTGTTTAGAACGTAAGAAATTCATTCCATTTTTGACCGCCACATTGTTTTCTTCCGTCGCCCCACTCTTTCCTAGTTTAAGAAGGCAGCCAATAAGTTCGGTTAGTTTACTTTGAGTAAACTCACCCTCCGTTGTCATTTGAACTTGTGCAGCTAGTGACGGTACCATCGCTTTTTAGATTAATACACAATTATGTGTGAGCGCCGATCAACTTATAATTTGCTACTTCATACTGCGCCATAATTATTGATAGTAAAATAAGCAATAATGGTTTTTATTACAATTTTCAAAAAATAATTTTTTTATACTACTTAATATTTATAACTTGAAATATAAAAATTACAGTATTAAAATAATATATACTGTAAGTACTAATAGTAATAACAATTAATTGATTTTTTTTTTTTAATTCTTGAGTTTTTTTATTTATTTGACAAATATATAATATGGATTAATAACTTTACTTTCTAAATTATCTAAAAAATTTTCTAATTTGTTAAGCTTGAGCAATTATGAATTTATATCTTGAATATTATAATTTATTAAAAAACTGATAATTTTATTAATTTTAATTATTATTTTAATAAATAGCCTATTTAAACTATCTTATTACAATAAATTATTTTTAATATATTACTTATTAATTATTTTACTTTCTTTAATTAATTATTAATTTTTTATATCAAGTTAAGTTTACTTAATTTCATATTTAATTATTATTTTTATTTTTTTAAGAAATAAATGATATAACAATATATAGTAATACTTAAAATTTTTTTAAACAATTAAAAATTATATTATTATTTTAATAATTAATAATTTAAAAAATATATAAAAATTAAATATAAATTATCTTACTTCTTACTGGAATTAAATGAAATCATATCAAATTCATCAATTCATCCAATCCTCTCAAATCAAAAAACAAGAATATTTTATAAGTTAAAAATATATTCAATACTAATTTATAAAAAAATATTATTATTAATTTATCTTCTATTGTTATTAACTTTTTATTTAATTTGAATATAATTATTTCAAATATATAGTATTTATAGCCTAACATCCTTATCTTTCAACTTTAATTCTATTTCTTTTAATATTGAATAGATATTCATAGCTACTCAATACTATTTAACAAAATTTTTGTTTTAAATTTTTTTTTTAATATTAGTTATATGATTATTATAGTTAAATTAATATTTAACTTATTGTATTAACATATAAGAAATATAGTTTCTTTTAAAATATATATCTTGTTATATACAAATTAAATAAAGAAATAATATTTATCTATAAAAAAAAAATTAAAATTAAATATTGTTTTTTTTTTTATATTATATATTATCAGAAAATTTTTTAGCAAAGATCTTTGAAGATTTTTAGGTGTAGACCTCCAGAGGATCTCCATCATTATTAAAAGACTCTAGAGTGAAAATTAATATATTAAACTTCAAAGATCTTTGATTTAATTTAATAATAAACTATATTTATAATATTTACATATTATAATTTAATAATATTCATTTTAAATTAATTCATTTATAAAATTTTTTTTATTATTATTTAATACTTGTTTACATTTATTTATTTGTCTAAATCTTTGCTTATTGCTGAAGTCCTTCTTTCTAATTCTCTATTTTCCAATAGTTGTCCTGGATTATTCTTAATATTTTCATATTTCTCCAGATTATTTTCTATAATAATAATTTGTAAATTAGTCATTTTTTCATCTTTGCTACTTGAATTTTCTTCTTCGAATCCAAGTTCTTTTTTAATTCTCTTTTAAAATATTATTAACAATAATTTATAATACTTCAAAAAATTTTTAAAAACTCAACTTATTTTTTTCTACTTTGTTTTTAATTAATATTTCATTTATCGAAATACTTTCATTATTCAGATCAAGAACTATTTGACATATTTCAATGGCAAATACCTCTTGTTCCTTAAAGGTATCTTCTTTTGGCCAAACTTTTTTGAGAATATGGACCATTATGCTTTATATCTTTCCTCTTGAATATTTGTAAAGATTTTCAAAGCATTTTATAGTCTTCCAAGATTGTTTCTAGGCCAAAATATTGGCAATGGTTACATTTATATTTATTATATCCAAAAACTTTTTGCCAAAAACTAAAAACATGGCATCATAAATTTTTGAAGCCATAGTCCCACAAAGTGATCGATGCTGTTTACAAGCTTTTAAAACAATAAGGTATTTAATAACTGAAGAATTAAAGTTATTAATATTTATAAGAATTATTGCTTGATAAATATGTTTTTCATAATATGTTTTTCATCATTTTCTTGTAATGTTCTTGCTGAAAAAATTCCTTAGTTATTCAGCAAAAATTTTCATGAATCAGATATATTTTTTCAAAAAATACTTATTTCACAATACTCTTAATCATGTACTATTTAAATAAAATATAAGTTTTTGAAGATCTTTGAAAAAATTCAAAATAAATTTTACCTCAATAAAATCATGTTTGGTAATTAAATATTGATTCGTGTGAATTTCATTTTCCAAGTGGGTAACCTTATCCTTTATAATTTTTTGCCATTCTAACAATTGGTCGGTTTTTTTATGAAGGTCTTTATAAGACTTCATGATTCTTTCAATAGCTTTATTAGGGACTAAATATATAAGTTAATATTTATTTTAAATTATAACAAATTTTTAAATATACCTGAAGTTACTTTAGATATTTTCCATATTGATATGTCAAAAAAAAATTTGAAAAAATATTTGGGAGATCTTAATTGCTTCCAAGATATTTCTATTTCCATTTCAATAGGAGTTGAGGGTCTTTGTTTAGTAGCTGGCCCTTGGGTTTCCTGAGAGTGACATTAGACTTCATTTGTACTATAATTAATTTTTTTTTTATTTAGTATTTTCTTTTTTCACTTTTATATTTTTTTAAATTTTATTTCATATAACCTTGAGTAAATATTCATAGTTGCTTAGCACTATTTTAGATGTATATTGATTTTAATATTTATTTTCCATGTCACTTAAATAATTTCTGTAAACAAGCTAACATTAGACTTATTAGCTTTACAAGTTATTTTTTTTTTTTTTTTTTTATAGTGGAACGTACGCAAGGTGCGTGATCTTTATTGATACGTTTATATATCCAGACAG